ATGACAAACCTAATCTCTGGGATTTGGTAAAGTTCTATTAAGCTTGAAAGGAAGAAGTATAAAGAGAGAAACTGCAAATAAAAAATAGAAATTGCTTAAAGAGAAAATTCCTCGAATTTGATAAAAACACGATTAAAATTACGCTTTTAACGCACTTTATTTTGTGATTTGTCCTATAAAAAAAATGATTAATTAGATTTTTTACTGAACAAAGCAAAAAGTATGTTTTATTATTTATTGTCGTTAAGGTTTGCGTTTGCATATATTTTCTGTTACGGTTAAAATTGTGTAAAAAAAAATCAAATAATTATTTAGAAAAAAATGTTCTAAATATTTTCTCACACTTTAAAAAATTTTGACCCTGGACAGAAAAAATATGGGAAAACAAATTAAAAATGATCCTAAAACATTCCAATAACAAACCTAACTAAACGAAAAATTTTGAAAGTTTTGTTTTTCAATTTTTTAAAATAAAACATTGCAAAGTAGTTTTGTTTTTCAATTTTTTAAGATAAAATATTGCAAAGTTAAATAAAATGCAAACCTTTAACAGAATACAGGGTTGAAACATTGAATTTTTGAGAAAGAAAAAAACTAAAACGCTTTTTTTCATTCTGCTATTCTACTATTCTACTATTCTACTATTCTACTATTCTACTATTCTACTATTCTACTATTCTACTATTCTACTATTCTACAATTCTACTATTCTACTATTCTACTATTCTACTATTCTACTATTCTACTATTCTACTTTTCTACTATTCTACTATTCTATTATTCTACTATTCTACTCATCTCATGTAACAAACCCGTCCCTGTCAGTTTATCCTCTTCAGAAATATTAAAATTGACAAAACTTTAAAAATAGCGGGTTTTTTTTACCAATCCGAATTTGAAGTGTTTCCTGGCTGTGCCCTGGTGGGATTTTATTAACCTATTTTTCCTTAGACAAAATATTTCAAACATCATTTCCATCCTGCAAATGAAATTCGGTGTTTGAAAAAATTGTTAAACGATCTTTTTGAAAATTGATTTGTTTACGAT